CCTTTCTGGGAGTGAGGGCACCGAGAGGAGACCGTGCCTCGCCTGGGCCACCTTCCTGTCTTCTCTTAAGGAGCGAGACCCACCTGGAGACCGCCATGGCCGGGCGCCGGCGGTTCGGATCTCCCCGCGAGCTACGCGCCGCACCGCTGAGGCGCTAGTTTCCAGAGAGCAGAGCGACGAAGGCCCAGGCCCCGGTCAGAGGGGAGGGTCGGTGCGGCGCGGGGCGTCCCGCCGTGAGTCCTTGAACATCTGCCCCGCCGCCTGCCCGAATTCGTCCCCGCCGCGGCCGGGGAGCAAGGGTCTGAGGCGGCGGCGGAGGCGGCAGTCCTCCGACCCGCACGACTTCAAACCGGGGGCCCCCAGCCCCGCTCTTTGCTGACGCAGGCGTCGGCACGCTGGACTGAGCGTCAGCGCGCCGGAAGTGACGTCAGCTCCCCTCCACGGCCTCCGCTGTGCAAGTGAGGTGAAGGCGTGACGGTAGTTTCTGTTTGGCTGCGTGCACCCGAAAGAAAAAGTTTGTGGCTGTCTGTCCTTAACGAGACAGGAAGGATAAATAAGGGTACCCTTATTTCCTAGAGAAGGGAAAAAAGGCGATTTAGCCAAGGCTCTGGAAATTCAAAAACTTGGTATCTAATTCCTTACTGCCCTGGTCCTTATCCAACCAGACTGCTAGAGAAAACACGATCCCGAAGAACTTAGGTGCTCTATTCGAGGGGGGCGATGCCAGTGGGAGGGGTGAAAGCAGGGAAGATCTGCTGGGGCACTTAGGACACGGCTCCAATGTTAGCCATATTCGCCAGAAGTTCTGCATAGCTATCGTAGGGAAGGTCTTCTGCCAGCTATTTTGCCAAACCCAGTTTGTTTTCTCAGCTGTCTATGTTGTAGATAAAAAACGACGATTTTCTCAGTCCTGTGTAAAAATTCCCAGCCCCCAACCACCTTTTTGTGTGTGTGTATGTGTGTGTGTGTGTGTGTGTGTGTGTGTGTATGTGGCTTATCTGGTTATTGAGTTGCTTAACTCATTAGTCTTTTAAACATTCTTCTGTCACTTAGTGCAGGTCCTTGCCATCTTAAACTTGATTTTTATGATAGTAGCTAATGTACTGTTTCTCCAGCTTCTAAAGTCAAGTCCATCTTGAGGCCGCTAACAGATCCATATAAAAAAAGAAAAAGAAAAACCTGCTTTGGGGGCGCCTGGTTAAGCGGCTGCCTTCTGCTGGGGTCATGACCCCAGCGTCCTGGGATTGAGCCCCACCTCGGGCTCCTATCCAGCTGAGAGCCTGCTTCTCTCCCTGTCTGCCGCTTTCTCTGCTTGTGCTCTCTAACAAATAAATAAATCTTTAAAACACACACACAAAACCACTGCTTTTATCATGTCACTCTGCGTATAAAATTTGCCCACTGGCTTCTTATTACCTGAAAAGTCTATGTCTCAACACCTGAGTCTGCTTTTCATCTATAAAATGAAGCTAGTGAGAAGTACTATAGAAGGTTATGGGAATAAAGTGATGTCATGTATCTAGGAAAGCTTACAAGAGCTTTGTAAACCATAAAGTAGTATATAAATGTAGGGGAAAAGAAACAAGCTCCTGCTATGTGGTAAGCATTTGGCACAATTTATCCCCTATAATTCCCAGGCCGACCGGTAAAGTAACCTTTAACCTTCAATTTTTTTTTTTGAGATTTTATATTTAAGTAATCTCTACACCCAACATGGGGCTCAAACTCACAACCCCAAGATCAAGAGTCACATGCCCTACCAACAGAGCAATCCAGGCACCATAATAATCTTTAATTTAGAGGTAAGGAAACTAAGCTCAGAAAGTTTTTCTTTTCTTCAGAAAGTTTAATTTGACCACAATCCAAGTTAGTAATATTTACTGTTGTTCATTCATTCAGTAAATATTTATTTGGCACCCGCTCTGTGTCCAGCACTTCACTAGGCACTGTTTGTACTGTTAGACAAAATCCAATTAAGCTGATATTCAAGTATCTTCACATTTCACAGTCTCCTCACACCCACCTTCTCAATATATTTCCCACCAATGAAACGATAAAGCAGGTACTACTTAACTGATTGTGTACTACTCCCATTTATTCAACCAAAATTAATACCTACCATTTGCTGAACTCTACTAGAGATTGGAACTTGAGGGTACTCATTTGGTTGAACTTACATCCTAATGGAAGGAAAAAGAGTAAACAGGTAAACAAGAAAATGTCATGTTTATATTTCATGTAAAGCAGAATCATGGGATAAATAGGATTATTAGAGACTCTAGACTGGGTAATTGGGAAAAAACCAAGGAGGCACTTAACCTGAGGCCTGAAAGACAGGGGGGAGCCAGCTGTGTGAAGATCTGGGGAGAATTCCAGGTAGAGGAAGTGTAAAAGCCTAAGGAGAGATGAACTAGAAGATAGAGGCCATTGTAAGGAATTTGGATTTTACTCTAGATGCAGTAGGAAGTCATAGGAGAGCTTTAACATGTGAATAAGATAATCTGATTAAAAATCTTTCTCTTTAATATTCAGAGGTAAGTAGATATATAGTTCAAAATGACATTTAGATGACAGGAAATGGCTAGTATCATAGGTTTGCAAGGGAGAGTGTAATAATCAAATATATTGATGTCAGTCTATCTTGTTTTTAAATCCTTCCGCACCACATTTAACACTGCTGTTAAGGGAGTTGTATCCTTCTAAGCTTCAGTTCCTTCATCTGTGAAATGGGGATAATAATAGCACCTCCTGGGGCACCTGGGTGGCTCAGTGGGTTAAGCCTCTGCCTTCGTCTTGGGTCATGATCTCAAGGTCCTGGGATGGAGTCCCGAATCAGGCTCTCTGCTTGGTGGGAAGCCTGCTTCCCCTCTCTCTCTCTGCCTGCCTCTCTGCCTGCTTGTGATCTCTCTCTCTCTCTCTGTGTCAAATAAATAAATAAAATCTTAAAAAATAAAATAATAGGACCTCCTATTGTGGTAATGAGTATTAAATGAGATAATGAATTAAAGGCATTTAACCAAGTGACTGTCACAATAAGCATGCAAGAATACTATTAACTACATTGATTTTTTTCTTTTGGTTAACTATATGATCTTGAGTTAGTGACTTAACTTCTGTGTCTCATCTGTAAAATGGTGATCATCAGTTGGTCCACAATGCGTATTTGAAATGCCTGCCAGGTGGTTTTCTGAATTTAGAATTCTTTTAGATTTCAATTTCAATTTTAGGTTTTGATTGGATTTAGTAATCCAGTTCATATACCTTGTATTACATCATACCCCAACAGCTTCTAGGGTAGCATCCTATAATCAAATACATTTATAGCTCTGCAGCAAAAGGTATGAATAGTCAGCCATACTAAGAGGAATAAATCAAAGACTGTAAATAGTTGCAAGCCTGTTCAGGTCAGGTTTGCTTCCAAATGAAATTTTTTTAAAATATGGTTTTTAGACCTTTCCAGTTTCAGGATTGTCAATAATGGATTATGAACCTATACTCTGTAAAGTGATGGTAAGGATTAAATGAGCAAGATATGATACACTTAAAAAATACTAACTGCTAAATAAATATTAGCTATTATACTTTATCACCAGAAAAGTGGTTTCAAAAAATCAATGGCAGGCCTTCCTGGTCCTGTGTCTGAGTGTCCACCGCTGCAGCCCTGCTCAGATGCTGAAGATCTAACTGCAGCCATGAGCAGTAATGAGTGTTTCCAGTGTGGACGATCTGACTATGAGGCCCAGGAATGCCCTACTGGTAGAGGCTGTGGTCTTGGAATAAGAAGCCATGGCAGAGGTGGAAACCTTGGTAGAGGTTTCCAGTTTGGTTTCTTATCTCTTCCAGACACCTGTTATCACTGTGGTGAGTCTGGTTATCTTGCAGATGATTGTGGTCTTCAAGAGGACACCTGGCTATAATAGCAGTAGACTGGCCACATAAACAAGGACTGCCAGGATCCTCAGAGAGAGAGCAATTCTGCTACAGCTGTAGCAGACCAGGCCATCTGGCTCATGACTGTGACCATAAGGATGAGCAGAAGTGCTATTCTTGTGGACAGTTTGGACACATTCCAAAAGACTGTCCCAAAGTGAGTGCGATAGGTATGGTGAGACTGGTTACATAGCCATCAACTGCAGGAGAACAAGTGAAGTTGACTGTGACCACTGTGGTGAGTGAGGAGACCTTGCATGGGAATGTATGGCTGTAGCCACAGCTTAATTATTTTTCTTTGTTGCTTCTCCTTTTTCTGATTGATGGTCATAATATTTTCTCTGAATCCTCTTCACTGGCCAAAGGTTGGCAGAGTCTACTCCCAGGCCAGTGAGTTTTACTTGCCATGTAAAAGGAGAGAAAGGATGGCGAAAAAAACAACTTCTGCATTTAACTACCAAAGACAAAAAAAAAAAAAAGTTTATGTTTAGTTTGCTAGAGGTGTTATGTATAATTCTTTGTTAAAGAACCCCTCTCCGCCCCACTGGTGAATAGGGATTGATGAATGGGAAGAGTTGAGTCAGACCAGTAAGGCTGTTTTTGGTTTCTTGGATATGTTCCCATGTAGGAAGTAAAACCAATTCTGGAGTATCTGTGAGTTTTCATAAATAACTTTAACTTCAGCATAACAATGGCCTTGGATTGTCTGACCTCGGTAGTTATTAAATAATATCAAGTAACATCTGTATCAGGCCCTACATAGAACATACAGTTGAGTGGGAGTAAACAAAATAAAAAGACAAATGTGTGTTAATGGCTGTGTGAGAAAAATCGGGATAAAGGCTTAAACAGGAACAACATCATCACAGTATTAGACTTGGTAGACATAAAGTGATGGCAAAGGTTTAGAACACATTTTTTCAAAGACTATATCTAAAACCCAGAGTAAACATTTATGCTCAGAATTAGCATAAGTTGGAGTTATTCAGGAATTGCAGAGAAATGAATCTTCACGGAAATCAAGCTGTTATTTTTGTATACTATATCACTTAGACAACTGTGTTTCAGTTTTTAAAAGTCAGATGGAAAAAAGCAACTGAAGTCCTAGAAAATAGAAATGTAATTTTAAACTATCCAATAAAGCTGGAGGAGGAAGAGAGTTTGACTAAAGTTCTTTTTGTTTCAAATTTTCCTTAATGTATATGGTGCAAAATGCCATAATACCATTCTCCTCCCTACCTTCCCAGATACAACTTACAAAGTTTGTGTATATGCTTCCTGTCCCATGTTTTTATCATTTTGCTAATATATGTGTATCCATAAAGAACAAAAAGTTGGGTTGCCTGAGTGGCTCAGTGGGTTAAAGCCTCTGCCTTTGGCTCAGGTCAGGCTCCCAGGGTCCTGGGATCGAGCCCCACATTGGGCTCTCTGCTCAGTGGGGAGCCTGCTTCCCTCCCTCTCTCTCTCTGCCTGCCTCTCTCTGCCTACTTGTGATCTCTGTCTGTCAAATGAATAAATAAAATCTTTAAAAAAGAACAAAAAGTGTCATTTATAAGCTCATAGTTAATTAACATTATGTTTCCAAGATCTAGTCCATTATATGAAAATCCATAATTTATTCATTCTTTACTGACTGATACTTGGGTTTTTCCAATTTTACATTATTATAAATGAAGTTAAATGAGTATACTTTTTTAAAGATTTTATTTTTAAGCAATCTCCACACCCAATGTGGGGCTTGAACTTACAACCCCAAGATCAAGAGTTTGCACACTCTACAGACTGAACCCAGCCAAGTGCCCCTGCAATGAGTATGTTTGACATGAGCTTTACATATATGTGCATAAACCAATCTAAAAATACAAGTGTATTGAAAGAATAAGCCCCAAACTTATGATAAAATGCAGGTTATCCTGGCTGGGAGTGGGGCTGGAGGAAAATGGGATTTGATAGAGGTAATGAAAATGGAAAAGTTATGTGACATTTTTTTCCTTAAAAAAATTTTTTTCCTTAAAAAAATGTGGAACACAAATATAACAAGGTTTTAATATATGTTAATTCTTAATTGTGGGAATATAATTTTTAAATTGTTTCTGTTATTTTCTATTTTTTACATTTATTGTAAAATATTTCAAAAATACAAAAGAGTTGAAAAAATTATATAGTGAACACCCATATGCCAATGACCTAGATTCTACAATTAATATTTTACTCTGTTAGCTTTATAACATAACTACTACTTATTTCCCTCTATTCATATTGTCCAGATTTTTTATACATTTAAAAACAAGTTGCAAGCATCAATACACTTCAGCCCTAAACACTCAACACTGATATCATTAACTTGGGTTGAATAATTATTTATTTGACTTCTTTTTTAGGTAAAATTGACATACAATAAAATGTATAAATCTTAGGTGTAACCTAAACCTCTATCAAAATAAAATATACAGAAAATTTAGAATATAGATATATAATATATAGACATATATAACCCCTAGAAAGTTCCTTTATATCCCTTCCTGGGTAACACAAGGCAGCACTCATCCCTCAGGGGCACCTCTATTCTAATTTTTTTCCACCGTTCATTAGTTTCATTTGCTCTAGAACTTCATATAGATTCAGTCATACAATATGGGCTCTTTTGTGCCTGGCTTCATTTGAGCAACACTGTGGTTTTGAAATTAATTCACACTCTTACCTGCTGCAGCAGTTCATTCCTTTTTATTGCTAAGTAAAAAACATATTTTTATTATAATTTGTTTATCCACCCACTTGTTGATGGATAATTAAGTTGTTTCCACTTTGGGGCTATTACAATAAATAAAGTGCTATAAATATCCTTTTACCTGTCTGGCTGTTGTCATAAGTTTTCATTTGCATTGGGTAAATATCTAGAAGAAGGATGGTTGGATCACAGTGTACATAACTCCGTAAGAGAATGTCAAACAGTTTCCTAAAGTGATTGCACCACTTTATGCTCCTACCAGTAGTGTGCGAGAGTTCAAGCATCCAGCTTTTTGCCTTGAGCATTGTATTAGGTACAGAAGAACTAAAAAAGAACTAAAAGTGTTCTTTTAGTTACAAAAGAACTAAAAAAGTTATCCTTGCCTAAAAAACTTACATTATAATTTGCACGATTAGGCAAATACTGATGAAACAAGGAAAATTTGACTCTTGAACTATGCAAAGCTGATTTTACATGCAGAAAGCATTATGTAGTCTTAAGAAACCTGGGGCACCTGGGTGGCTCAATCAGTAGAGCACGCAACTCTCGATCTCAGAGTGAGTTCAAACTCCACACTGGGTGCAGAGATAGAGATAGAAAGAAAGGAAAGAAAGGAAGGAAGAAAGAAAGGGAAAGAAAGAAAGACCAAGAGGAAGGAGGCCTATTCACCATAAAAGTTTGTGGGTCACGTGCTGCAGCTAACCTTCTCTAGAAGAAGGGAAGGAGGTGCAACATAGTTGTTATGGTAATATATTTCCTTCCTATTATTCACAGGGCAGGACTAAGAAATTAATCACTGAAATTATCACGAAATTCACCTCATTGTAAACTATTAAGTAGCATATGGTATGAATCCAAACAGACCTGTTGGATCGTTGGTGCAAACGAGATTTTTTTTTAACATTTTTTTAGTTCTTTTAAAAGATTTTATTTATTTATTTGTCAGAGAGAGAGAGCAAGAGTGAGAGAGTGAGTAAGCACAAGCAGGGGGACCAGCAGGCAGAGGGAGAAGCAGGCTCCCCAATGAGCAGGAGGCCCAATGCAGGACTCAATCCCAGGACCCTGGGATCATGACCTGAGCCGAAGGCAGATGCTTAACCCAGGCATTCCAGGATTAATTTTTAAGTTAATATTAAAATATTTATTTCATGCTTTCTTACATATCTCACATCATAATATTTTTTAAAATGTCTCCCCTGGGGCGCCTGGGTGGCTCAGTGGGTTAAGGCCTCTGCCTTTGCCTCGGGTCATGATCCCAGGGTCCTGGGATAGAGCCCCACGTTGGGCTCTCTGCTCAGCAGGGAGCCTGCTTCCTCCTCTGTCTATGTCTGCCTCTCTGCGTACTTGTGATCTCTGTCTGTCAAATAAATAAATAAAATTTAAAAAAATAATAAAAATAAAAATAAAAAAAAATAAAATGTCTCCCCTTGGACTACATCAAAATTTAAGACTCTTATATATCAAGGGACATTGTCAACAGAATGAAAGACAACCTACAGAATAGGAGAAAATATTGCAAATCATATATCCATAAGAGGTTAATATTTAGGGACGCTTATCTGACTCGGTAGAGCATGAAACTCTTGGTCTCAGGGTTGGGAGTTTGAGCCCCATGTTGGCTGTAGAGATTACTTAAAAATGAAGTCTTTAGAAAAAATTGTAAAGGGATTAATATCTAGAATATATATGAACTATAACTCAACAAAAACAAAAATAAAACAATCTGATTGAAAAATGGGCAAAGGACTTCAACAGACATATTACAAAGAAGAGATAAAAATGACTAATAAGCAGATAAAAAACAGGCTCAACATCAGTAATCATTAGAGAAATGCCAATGAAACCCACAATGAGATATCAGGTTACACCCATCAGGATGGCTATTATGAAAACAAAACCAAGCAAGCAAGCAAGTAAACAAATAGTAACAAGTACTGGCAAGGATCTGGAGAAATTGGGACACTTGTGCACTGTTGGCAGGAAGGTAAAATGGTTCAGGCATTATGGAAAACAGTATAGGGATTCCTCAAAAAGTTAAAAATAGGGGCTCCTGGGTGGCTCAGTCAGTTAAGCATCTGCCTTCAGCTAAGGTCACGATCGCAGGGTCGGGGGATCTAGCCCCACAGCATCAGGCTCCGTTTTCAGCAGGGAGTATGCTTCTCTCTCTCCCTCCGCCCCTCTACCCCCATGCTTGCTCTCTCTCTCGCTCACTAGCTCTCACTCTCTTGTGTGCACTCTGTCTTAAAAATAAATAAATAAAATCCTTACTTTAAAAAGTTAAAAAGAAAATTACCATATGAACCATTAATTCCACTCTGTGTAAAAACCTAAAAGAATTGAAAGCAGGAACTCAAACGGGTTTTGGTACAGCCATATCCAGAGCAGCATTGTTCACAAGAGCCAAAAGTCAGAAGCAACTGGAGAGCCCATTGGTAGATTAACAGAGAAACAACATGTGGTGTATACATACAGTGGAATACTACTCAGCCTTAAATAGGAAGATAATTCTGACAAACATTACAACATGCAATAACCTTGAAGACATTATGCTGAGTGAAATAAGCTGGTCATGAAGGGACAAAAACTGTATGATTCCACTTCTGTGAGGTGCCTAGAGCAGTTAAATTCGCAGAAACAGAATGTTGAATGATGGTTACCAGGAGGTAGAGGAAGCAAGGCATGAGCAGTTACTGTTTAACGGCTACATTTGGAAGATGAAAGATGTTCTGGAGCTGGATGGTGGTAATGGTTGCACAGCAGTGTGAATGTATTTATGCCACTGAACTGTACACTGAAGAATGGTTAAAATGGCAAATTTTGTGATATATATTTTTTACCACGGTTTTCAAAAAGTAACTTGGAGGGGTATGCCTTGGTGGCTCCATGGTTGAGTGCTGGACTCTTGGTTTCAGCTCAGGTCACGATCTCAGGGTGGTGAGATTGAGCCCGCGTTGGGCTCTGTCCTCAGCAGAAAGTCTGCTTGGTATTCTCTCTCTCCCTCTGTCCCTGCCCTCCACCCTGGATTGCACTCGCAAGCTCTTTCTCAAAATAAATAAGTAAAATCTTAAAATAAAATGTACCTTGTGGTAAGACATACCACTTTCTGATGTGGCAAAGCACATCTGTGTGTCCCTTTTCCTCAGAGAACAATGTTTCTGACAGAAAACTTGGTCTCTGTAATTTCCCTCTTGATGATGACTTTCCAGGTGAACTTTTTCATTGTAATTAACATGCAATGTCACAAGATGTCACTCTTTAGCTGGAAAACTCTTCCAATTCAGTTGGTTAGCGATCACAGTTAAGTAAAGCCAAAGCAGCAGACAAAAGCCTCTAACTCTCCTCATCAGTGCTTTACTCCCACAGATGCAGTTTTCTGGGAAGGAGAAGGTTTGCATCTTTGAAGAACATTAGTGAACTACCCTTGTTTATGAAACTTACATTACTATTTATTAACCTAATACGTACTAATTGCTTTTCATTATAAATCAGTTTGATGTAACAAAAACATATCATTTGAAAATGATAGCGATGTAATAATGCAAAGCTGAAATGTAAAGTTTTTTTTTTAAGATTTTGTTTATCTGAGAGATATAGAGAGAGTGAGAAACAGAGAGAGAGAGAGAGAGTGCTTGATCAGAGAGAGGGAGAAGCAGACTCCCTGCTAAGCAGGGAGCCCAATGCAGGGCTCCATCCCAGGCCCTGCTATCATGACCTAAGCCAGAGGCAGACGCTTAACCCACTGAGCAACCCAGGCACCCCTGAAATGTAAAGATTATTGATAACTGAAAGTCAGGTAGCATATGGCTTTATCACTAAATGATGTGTGACCTTGGTAAGTCATTTAATCTTTCTAATCTCACAAGAGTAGTAAAATTTCCTTTCTTAGGTCAATATACACTACTATATATTTAATATATGCTAATATATATTTAAATATGTTCTTCTAATTCTGAAATATTTTGTTTTTTTTAGTAGTACTCAAATTGTAACTGTTCAAATACAATATTAAAAGTGAGTTCAGGGACGCCTGGGTGGCTCAGTTGGTTAAGCGGCTGCCTTCGGCTCGGGTCATGATCCCAGGGTTCTGGGATCGAGTCCCATATCGGGCTCCTTGCTCAGCAGGGAGCCTGCTTCTCCCTCTGCCTCTGCCTGCCTCTCTGTCTGCCTGTGCTCACTCTCTCTGACAAATAAATAAATAAAATCTTTAAAAAAAAAAAGTGAGTTCAGTAATAGAAAATACAGTCTGCAAGAAAACATTGGGAAATAATATAATGAGACTTCTTGACATCTTGAGTAATTAGTTTAGGAAATTACTCACATGTATAAAACAATTGTAAAGCAGTATAAAAACTCTTGAAATGAAAAAAACATTTGTTACTGAGAACATTTTTTAAAAAGATGATGGAATATTTTATGCTTTGCTTAAATATAAAATTCTCAAGATTCAAGAACACAGTAACTCTTAAAGATTATACCGCTTGAATTGATAATGTTACCTTGTAACTACAATCTAAATAAATTATTTTTTAAACTTCTAATTCTTGCAAGTAGTTTATAATTGATTTATAATATCTAAAAATAATCCAAAACCCAAATGCCCACCCCTGGATGAACTGAGGGACACTATAGTATGTTAATAAATGAGGGTATATTTTTATTAGTAGTTAGCAGTTATTAGGATTAAAATTACATTATTAGGATAAGAAAGACTATCAATGTGCTGGCTGAGAACACAGAACTCAGAATGATATGAAGAGAGTGTAGTGCCTGGCTGAGAATATTGACAGTTGTTTTGTTTCTAATATGAAATTTTTTGTTTAACTCTTAAAAACTTAGATCTTTCTGTTTAACTTCATGTTTGTATGATTAAATATGTAACTGGAAAGAAAAGAAATGACCTGTTAAAATGTGCATGATTCTTTTAAACGCTAGAAGCCAAATACAAGATTTATATTTCATGTCACAGTGTCACTTCTCTCACACATTTGGGGCGTGTGTGTATGCGTGTGGTGGCGGTGGGAAATCTCCCAGTGGGAGACAAGTCTGGGAGGGGCAGAGTGGGGGAGGCCCCTCCTGTCCCATTCATAACACGTTCATTCACTGGGAGCCGGCAAAAACGGACTAATCTCTAATGCAGTCATTCCCTCTACCCTAGTAGGACTCCACCACCTCTCCTAGAACTCGGTAAGTTCAGAGTGCAGTAAAAATGCATGTTTCCAAAAAACAATCTGAAATGATTTTGTAGTTTATTGGAGGGTGAAGAAGGGAGGGGGTGAAGGTGGCAATTTTCAGGCCTCGCTTTGTTTTCGTCTTTGCACCGGGTTTCAAAAAGATATTAAACGTTTATTTAGACAGTAAGCGATTTTCTCAGAGAGTTTCTTCTCAGGCTGCTGCTGCCTACTGGAAACCAGCGTGTGGGAATGGTAGACAGTGTGGGAAGACGCATTTGCAGCAGCAGTCTCTGCCTCTGTCCGCAGGTCCGAGGGATGTGGCTCTTCCGGCCCAGCCACCACTGAATCGCCCAGGCGTCCCGAAGACCCGACCTGAGCACAGACCATGAGTCCTCTGAGGCCGCTGCTGCTGCTGCTGCTGCTGGGTGGCTGCCTCCTCGTGGCCTCCCGGAGAGCCAAGGGGGCGGCTGGCAGCCTGGCAGAGCTGGCCTCGGGTCCCACTGGCGGGTCTTCCGGCCGCTTCTTCAGCCCCGAGCGGCACGCGTGCAGCTGGCAGCTCCTGCCGCGCGCCCCAGGGCCCGCGGCGGGGAGCGAGCTGGCGCTGAGCTGCCGGGACCCGGCCGGGGCGCTCCAGCAGTGCGCCTACCGCGGGGAGCCAGAGCGCTGCGCCGCCTACGCCGCCCGCGGCCCCCACTACTGGAAGCAGGTGCTGGGCGGGCTGCGCAAGAAGAGGCGGCCGTGCCAGGACCCCGCTCCGCTCAAGGCTCGCCTGTGCGCAGGCAAGAAGGGCCACGGCGCCGAGCTGCGCCTGGTGCCCCACGGGTCCTCACCTGTGCGCCCCACTGCGGCAGTCTTCCCCCGGGATCCCGAGCCCCCAGCAAGGAGCCGGGGGCGGCTCCGGGAGCCCGCTCCGGGTCCCGCAGGAGGGTCCCGACTTCCCGCGAGCAAGTCTCCCAGAGGGAAGCCCTCTGAGAAGACCAAAGCGGGCAAGAGGAAGGCGACCTCGGACCCAGAAGAGGAGCGACCCCTGGGGACGCGACCTGATCCGGACGGGCTGGGCGAGAACGCGAAGCTCACGGAGACCTACTGTGCTGAGAAGTGGCACTCCCTTTGCAACTTCTTTGTCAATTTCTGGAATGGCTGAGGCTGCCAGCCTGGGGAAGAACGCGGGTCGGGGAAGGTACGCAGCCGGGCAGGAGACTTGAAGGGCATTTTAGGCCAAGAGATAAGGAATGGAGCGTTGGGAAGAGTCCAGGTTCTAGAATGGGGCTGGGGGGTGAGGGCGGGGGGGCGGGGTGTGGGAGGGCATGGGCCTTGGGATGGGAGTGTAAGGGGTGTGGAGAATCTCTGAGATAGCAAAGACATTTAACTTTTTGAAAAGTCCGATCCTGATGAAGAGCAGAAGAAATGGTGGAAACAGAAGTAGGCATACCTTAAATGTACAAAAACTGTAGACTGGGAGAGAGGCGAGTACAGAGGGAGGCTGGAAAAAAAAATAAGAGGGAAAAAGTGACGACGAAAGCTATGTTGTCTCATGTGGGAAGCAGGATACAATGTATATTGTTTAACACACTTATATTAAAATGTAATCACGAGCAATTGGTAACCTGAGCCAGACTGAATTGTTTAGTGACTTCCCAGCCAGTCAGATGACAAGATTCCGACCTTCCCCCCCCACCCCCTTTTGGCATTAGTATGAACTTGGGTACTGCTTGGTGTCATAGAAGACCTCTATTGGGATAGAAGCCATTTAGAGGTCAAAATTGCCTCCAATTAGATTTTCAGGTTGGCTGCCCTTGGATTTTTTTAGAAGTGTTACTTTTAAATACAGGGATGCCTTATGTTCTGAAACTTTCCCATTGACCTCTTAAGAATGGTAGTGCTCTGATCGGTTTCTAAAAAGAATTCTTTGTGTTTGATCATATATATATTTTTTTAATCTTCTTTTTTTTTCTTATTTTTTTATCTTTTTTTTTTAAATAGCTGACATTAAGTATGTATTTCTGAGTCATTTGGACCATTATGGAAGTTATATCTGTTTTATGTAATTAATTATTAACATATTTCATTTTAAGTAAGATTTAATGATAACTTAACACATGTTAGGTGCTCAATAAAAAACTTTATGAATAGATTTAAAGAACTGGCAGGGGAATGGAAATTCTGGCTGCATATGATAAAGTTCTGAATATATGATAAAGTTCTGAATATACCTTAAAGTAAATGTTTAAACATCTCCCAAAGTGTTAGGAAAAGACAAGAAGTCTGCATTAAAGCAAGAGTGACAAACGGGCAAACCCTGGGTTGTATCATTGCTCTGCTTGGCCTACATGTGTTTCTCTTTTATTTTTCCTCTTTGTCTTCCCTCCCAATTTTGATTTGTTGCCAACATTTAAAAATTAAATAATTTCAGGGGTGCCTAGGTGGCTCAGTCATTAAGCATCTGCCTTCGGTTCAGGTCATGATCCCAGGGTCCTGGGATTGAGCCCGGCATCGGCATCGGGTTCCCTGCTCAGCAGGAAGCCTGCTTCTCCCTCTCCCACTCCCCCTCCTTGTGTTCCCTCTCTCGCTGTGTCTTCTATCAAATAAATAAATAAAATCTTTTAAAAAATTAAATAATTTCATATAAAATTCAGATTTCTGAATTCTTTTGAAAAATGCGATCTATAAACATTTGGACCTTCCTTCCCATATGGCAACAATTGGCTGACACTGACTACTGGCTGCCCCCTTTAGATTAGGCATGTTTTCTAGAGTTCTCCACTATTCCTACAAATCTTACCAGTAAACTTTATTCGTTTCTATTACAGGCCTGAGCCCAGAAGACATTTAAGCCAGTGGGAGATATAAGGCTTTTACCTTTTTGCTGACCATCTGTTCTCACACCCTCCCCTTCTAAATAATGGTAAATGCAACAATCTTGCAGATAGTAAACATCTCCTGAACTCTTTCCTCTTTGACCAGTTGCTAGGTAATGTTAACTATCTCTTACCAGTCTGTACATTCTTGTATTCATACAATTGGTAAAATATTTAGATTGCACGTAGTTCCAGGCTAGGTTTATGAGGTCGCATTCTGAGTAATATTGACTATTAGATAATATTCATATTGGCCAAGGAGAGGAAGTCCAGAGTAGCTAGAGATCACTCTTTTAAGATAGGGACCAATGGGGCGCCTGGGTGGCTCAGTGGGTTAAAGCCTCTGACTTCAGCTCACATTATGATCTCGGGGTCCTGGGATCGAGCCCTGCGTCGGGCTCTCTGCTTGGTGGGGAGCCTGCTTCCCCCACCTCTCTCTCTGCCTGCCTCTCTGCCTGCTTATGATCCCTCTCTCTGTCAAATAAATAAACAAAATCTTAAAAAAAAAAAAAAAAAGATAGGGACCAACATACACTTTCTCTAAAAAGTTTGGCAAAATTTGAGTGTCATCAAAGAAGGGTATTAGAAATGAAACATCACTATCTAGAAACATAGCTAGAATGATAGTTTTACCTCTTCATACAAGACAAATGCCAATCCTTCTTGTATGCCCTGTGACAGTCCAATGAACTTACCTTGGCAAAAGAAGGAAAAGCTAACACCTTGACAAAAGAAGGAAAAGCTAAACTCCGGGCCCAAGGACACAGTGCAGATTGCTACTGCTCTTGCTCCTTTCCTCTTTAAGAACTATACAAGGACTTCATCTCCAGAACAGAACACTGACTGATAGGGGCCAACTGCTTGCAGTGAAAGAGAACTCAACAGATCCTACCATCAGCTTCTGGAATGACTTTGACTAAGTCCCAATGGCTCCAATGTGTTCAGTGATGAGAGTTAAACTAGGTTAAATCTGAGGTCCCTACCACACACTATTGGCACTCCAGAACCCTATACATAATTTTGCATAGTGTTTATAGCACTTGAGAATCAACAACTACTCTGTGTACAGTAGTACATGTTATACCCCAAGAAAGGTTACAGAGTTGGAAAAGCTCCAGAGAAAGACAACTGAAGTAGCCAGGGAAATAGAGAAGGCTTCTTTATCTGGAGCATCTAGAAAGATTTGGAAGGTTGGGCCAGAAGGAAAAATCTGTCAGTGGGAGAAGACAGGATCAAAATGTCTAAAATAATGAGGAGGATAGACAGGGCGAATTTGAGTAATCTCCCACCACCCCCACCCCCACCCTGCCCTGCAGGTGCCAGCAAGATGGGGAGGGGCACCTGGCTGGCTCAGTTAGAGTGGAATGTGTGGCTCTTGATCTCAGGGTCTTCAGTTAGGGCCCCACACGGGGTATAGAGATTACTTAAAAATATATATTTTTTAAGTGACAGGAAAGTTGCCAGGGCACCCCCAAGTTTACTGTCAGAGCTGGGATCAGCATGGGCATCAGAAGTAGCAAGACATCTGTCACTCAGTTTATTGGAGACAGAGAATTTTTAAAGTGCTAAACCATCTTATTCTCTTATACTTCCCAAGTTAGTTAGCACAGAGATAGCAGGGAAAAGTGGAATTTCACCCAGGTACTCTCTACCCAGTTTGCTTTTCTTTATTTTTAAAGATTTCATTTATTTATTTGAGAGAGAGAGAGAGAACATGAGTATGGGAAGTGCAAAGGGAGAGGGAGAAGCAGACTCCCTGAGTGAGGAGGCTGATTTGGGTCTCTATCCCAGAACCCCGAGATCATGACCCAAGCCCAAAGTCAGATGCTTAACAGACTGAGCCACCCAGGTGCCCCTCTTTTCTTTCTTTTTTATTTATTTGAGAGAGAGAGGGAGGGAGAGAATGAGCGAGCTGGGAGGCAGGAGGAGCAGAGGGAGGGGGCAAGCAGACTTGGCACTGAGTCTGGTGTGGGAATCAATCCCATGACCCTGAGATCATGACTAAATTGAAATTAAGAGTTGGATGCTTAACTGGCTGAGCCACCCAGGTGCCTCTCCCAGTTTGCTTTTCTGAACTCCTCTCTACTAGGCCAAATCTTTTCTTTTTTAATTTCTTTATTATCATTACTATTATTATTAATTCTAAGTAGACTCCACACCCAATGTGGGGCTTGACTTTGGGACCCTAAGACTAAGAGTCACATGTTCTACCGCCTGAGCCAGCCAGGTGACCCTAGGCAAAGTCTTTTCAACCTTCAAAGTCCTTTAGTCTCTCTCTGTCTCAGTTTGCCTGGACATCAACGTTTTAATCCTTTACAACAACATTTTCATCCAATGACTTAGCTATGGTGTTTGTTTTAAGATTTTATTTTTAAGTAATCTCTACACCCAATATAGGGCTCAAACTCGTGAACTTAATCACAAGATTAAGAGTCACATGCTCTAGCAACTGAGCCAGCCAGGCACCCCACTTATTATTTTAAATAAAGACAGGAGCAGTAACAGTACCTTGGGAAGCTATATTGGAGCCTGAGGGGGAAGGAAAATCAGTGAAGAATGGTACTATTTTTATTGAAAAATTTGATGTTTTGTTTATCAGGGGTTGTTTTGTATTAATTTTGATTTTTTAAAACTATTGCTTTAAAACATAATTTATCTTGACTACTGAGTTTGTTGGTACTCCACTTTTATTTTGCACCCAGGACAAAGAGCCTCACCAGTCCCACCTGCCTCTTAGTCCTGGCCCCAGAAGATAGATCCCGTGATGTGGGCGAGCACTGCTATTGGATTCAGGGATGACTGGTTTGAATACTAGTTCTGCCCACCTCTTACTCTGGGTTACTTTGAGAAGGTTCTTTAATCTCTTCACTTTTTTTCTTTTCTCTTGTTGAAGACGGTTTACCTGCTTCCAGGGTTACCATGAAGAATAAATTATGGGATGTCCTGCATACTGTCTAGCACCCCACAATAACCTACATTGTAATAGGTACCCAATAAATATTATTACCTCCTTTCTGATGAGAGGCATAATACTCCATCCCACATTCTTCCCTCCCACATTCTTTCCTTTTGTTTAACCACACCCTTAAGCACACCCTAGGGGCATAACATCCTTGCTCAGCCCTGGAGATATGACTATGACACACACCTATTCTTATAGTATTTTCCCCCTAATAAGCCATTCGTTGTCAAGCTGGACTTCTAGGCCTTTTTCTTCCCTCTTACGGTCTTTCACCCACTGGAGGTCATTTTGCATACACTTCACTTTCACAGAATACATATGAAACTATTATTGGACCACTTTGACCTATTAAAAATGACAATTTTATATGGTTCAACTTAATACAATACTATGGGATCACTTAAAAAACAAAAGATTTGGGGCACCTGGGTGGCTCAGTTGTTAAGTGTCTGCTTTCGGCTCAAGTCATGATCCCAGGGTCCTGGGATCAAGCCCCACATCGAGCTCTCTGCTCGGCGGGAAGCCTGCTTCTCCCTCTCCTACTCCCTCTGCTTGTGTTCCCTCTGTTGCTGTGTCTCTGTCAAATAATAAATAAAATCTTAAAAAATAAATAAATAAAATAAATATTTCTCCATAAACCATAAATGATATTCAACACTAGCATAGGTATACTGTTAAATAAAGCGAAATGAATAACAACAAATATATATACTGTTGTTATATATATATCTGTATATAAGTAAATATAATCAGGCTGAGGGGGGGGAGTCAGAATACTGGTTGGTGTTAGTAAAAACTTCTTGGCAGAATGCAAGGATCCCATGTGACAACTATTTACTCCCAAGCTTGAAGTTCAGTTTTCATTTTCTTTTTAACAAGGTGGGATAGTTTTATCCTGAACATTTTGGTCCTCCATTTGGAACATACAGTTGCATATTACATTAAAACAACAAGTTCTTAAAAAACAAAACAAACAGACAATAAGTTCTTGGTGTCTGGGTGTCAGTCATTAAGCATCTGCCTTTAGCTCAGGTCATGATCCCAGGATCCTGGCATTGAGAACCACATCCAGCCCCCTGCTCAGCGGGAAGCCTGCTTCTCCCTCTCTCACTCACCCTGCTTGTGTTCCCTCTCTCACTGTGTCTCTTTGTCAAATAAATAAATAAAATCTTTTAAAAAACAACAACAACTAAGTTCTTGGTCTTTGCAATCTAAACACCTATGACCACGATCAACAAACAAAATAAAATCTATCTAAAAGAAATCAAAGTGAAATCCAAATCCTTCAAATAGGAATAAATGTTTATATTATTTTTTATCAACTCTATGAGTTATATACTGTGGCAGACTGCGTATGAGCATATAAGTATATATAATTACTTACATTTATCCCACCTCCTGGGATTCACATCCGTGTGTCATCCTTTCTCCTTGAGCACAGGCAGGACGTGTGGATTGCTTCCAGCCTCAATAGAATGCAACAAAGGACATGAAGTATCACTTCCATAACTACATCACATAATACTGCAACTTCTTTCTGGCTAGCAGACTCTCTGTTGATTCTCTTTTGCTGAATTTGATGAAGTAAGCCACCCTAAGAAAGAGCCCACATGGTAAGGAACTGAAAACAGACTCTAGCTGAAGCCCTCAATCTGCCACCTGCAGGAACCGAAATCCTGCTAACCACTCTGAACTGGGAAGCGCATTCTGCCCCAGCTGAGCCTCAGCTGAGACTCTGGCCCAGGCTGGCACTTCCACTGCAGCCTCATGAAAGATTCTGAAGCCAAAGAGCCGTCTCTGACCCCCAGAGTGCGAGATAATGTTATTTAAGATAGTGTTATTTAAGCCACTAAGTCTGTGGCAATTTGTTATGCAGCAATGGATAACAAATACAAATACATAAAAATAACTTTGAAATTATTTTATTGTGCACCTGTGCAATTGTATCTGCAAGATAAATTCTTTTTTTTTTTTTTTAAAGATTTTATTTGACAGAGAGAGAGAGAGAGAGTGAGAGTGAGAGAAGAAACACAAGCAGGGGAAGTGGGGGAGAGGGAGAAGCAGGCCTCCCACTGAGCAGGGAGCCCGAAGTAGGTCTCAATCCCAGGACCTTGGGATGGTGACCTGAGCTGAAGGCAAACTGAGCCACCCAGGCACCCCTGCAAGATAAATTCTTATACATGGAATCTGTGGCTTTAAGGACATGAGGACATGAGCCCTTAGGGCTTTAATTTTTTTTAAAGATTTGTTTACTTATTTATTTAGAGAGCATGTGAGCATGGGGAAGGGCAGAAGGAGAGGACAGAGAATCCCAAGTGGACTCTGCATTGAGCACAGACTACAGAACTGGGCATGACCCGGAGACCCCGACCTGAGTCTAAAGCAAGAGTCAGAGGCTCAGCTAATTGAGCCACCCAGGAACCCCACCCTCAGGACTTTAAAAGGTATTGAGGCCTTTCAAAGTCCTTCCCTAACTTTGTACCAACAAAATTCTGATAAAGACATTTTCATTGAAATGTTCTAAACTACAAATGTGTAGGGGTGCCTGGTTGGCTCAGTTGGTGGAACAGGAACTCCTAATCTCAGAGTTGTGAGTTCAAGCCTCACATTGGGCAGGGAGCCTACTTAAATAATAATAATAATTTTAAAATAAAATATAGATGTATAAAGAGTAAAATGTGAAAATCTCTATTCAGCTTCTCTCTCTCCTTCCTTTCCTCTTCATAGCAGTAACCACCAATTGCTATAATTTGGTGAGAACCGCTAGGGTTTTGCTTTTCCCCTCTGGATGTGATAGATATTTAGACCACTGAGAAGTGGTCCTGGGTTCTTAACCTAGGGTATGTGTAAAGTATCAGAAATTGTTCAGTATCAGTGCATATATGTTTGTACAAATATACTGGTTTTTTCCTTACATAAGTGGACTCATGCTATATGTAGTATGCTACAATTTCCTTTTCACTTAATATTATTTTCAAGATGTTTCTAAATTAGCACATGTGAATATAATTATACCTCAGGCTTATTCAGTATGAATATAAAATAAGTATAGTTGTACTTAATACTCCCCCCCCTTTTTATTGGAGTACTGTTGACACACAATGTTACATTGGTTTTCAGCATACAACATAGTGATTCAACAACTTTGTTATGCTATGCTCACCACAAGTGTAGCTACCATGTGTCACCATACAGTTCTATTACAATATCACTGACTACATTCCCTATGTTGTACTTTTTATTCCTGTGACTTATTCATTTCATAACTTGGAGCCTGTGCCTGCCATGCTCCTTCACCCATTTTTGCCCATCCCCCCACACTTCCGCTGAGGCAAACACCAGTTTGTTTTCTGTATTTATAGGTCTGTTTCTGCTTTGTTCTTCTGTTTTATTTTTTTAGATTCTACATATAAATGAAATCATATGGTATTGGTCTTTTTCTGTCTGACTTATTTCACTTAGCATTAAACCCTCTAGGTCCATCTAAGTTCTTATAGATGTCAAAATCTCATTCTTTTTATGGCTGAGTAGTATTTAATTGTATAAACACATCACATCTTCTTTATCCATTCACCGATAGATATCTTGGCTTCCGTATCTTGGCTTTTATAAATAATGCTGCAATAAACATAGGGGTGTATAGATCTTCTTAAATCAGTATTGTTTTCTTTGGGTAAATAGCCAGTAACAAAATTACTGGATTGTATAATATTTCTATTTTTAATTTTTTGAGGAATCTCCATACTGTTTTCCATAGTAACCACTTCCCTCTCGATGAACAAAACTAAATCTCTTGAGGCCTTGGCTGGCTCAGTCAGTGGAGTGTGCAACCCTAAATCTTCAGGTTCTGGGTTCAAGCCCCACCGTAGGTATAGAGATTACTTAAAAGAAAAAGAAAAGCTGTTAAAAAATTGTTATTTAAATAAACAAACAAAAACTAAATCTCTTCAGCTGCATAGGAAATGATCCCAAAGTTGAAATCACCTGAGTACTTCCATAAAGTTATATTCTACACTTACATTTCTTTAAATAGTAATTACATTCATTTTCTTGAGGAGCTATAACAGAGTACCACAAACTGGGTAGCTTAAACAATAGAAACTTATTGTCTCATAATTCTGGAGTCTAGAAGTCCAGATTAAGGCATCAGCAAGTTTGGTCCCTCGGAAGACTGTAAGACCTAATCTGTTCCATCTTTCTCTCCTAGCTTCTGGTCATTTTGTTGGTAGTATTTGACATTCCTTTGCTTTTAGATTCCTACCTTCTTCACCTGGAATTTTCCCTGTAAGTGTCTGTCTCTAAATGTACTCCCCTTTTTTAAATGTCTACTTTTTTTTTTTTTTTTTTTTTTTGACAGGCAGAGATCACAAGTAGGCAGAGAGGCAGGCAGAGAGTGGAGGAAGCAGGCTCCCCGCTGAGCAGAGAGCCCGATTCAGGGCTCCATCTCAGGCACCTGGAATCATGACCTGAGCCAAAGGCAGAGGCTTAACCCACTGAGCCACTCAGGCGCCCCTAAATGTCCCCTTTTATAAGGATACCAGGGCTTACTAAAGGACACCAGATAAGAAGCCCATTCCCCTGTAATAGGACCTCATCTTAATTGCAACTGCTATGATTCTATTTCTAATAAGGTCACATTCTGAGGCACTGGGGATGAGGACTTTAACTGAATGGGGGGGGCACAATTCAACCCATTATATATAGTGATAAACCTCTCTGCCCCCTCAATTGCCACAAAAAAATCAGTCCTTTGTTATTATACACAAACATATTCCCTTTTCCTATGGATACAGTTTTGATTAAATTTTTTCCTCTCAATTTTATTTAACTAAAAGGAGATATTTAGAGATGTAATTTTGCTTGGCACCCATGGGAAATGGTTAGTCATGTTATACTTGGCATACCGTTGGTCTGCCCTGCATTTTCTTTTCCTTTTCCTTTTTTTTTTTTTTTTAATTTTATTTATTTATTTGACAGAGATCATAAGTAGGCAGAGAGGCAGGCAGAGAGAGAGAGAGGAGGAAGCAGGCTCTCTGCCGAGCAGAGAGCCTGATGCGGGGCTTGATCCCAGGACCCTGGGATCATGACCAGAGCTGAAGGCAGAGGCTTTAACCCACTGAGCCACCCAGGCGCCCCTGCCCTGCATTTTCAATACAGGAAATATGTACAGGAATATTATTGGGCCCACCAAATGCCAACTTTCAACCATATCTCATTACCTGGGCAGATTGTCACCTGAAAAATCTGTCTTAATTTTCAGCATTCTGATGACAGAAAGAAAATCCTAAGGGTAAACTTCAACAGGACAAGGCTCAAAGACAAAACAAGATACCTTGAAAAAGGTCAAGGTAGAAGCAGCAGGCAGTCAGGCCAACCTGAGAAAAAAAGAAACAATGGCAAATCCATGTTCTTGGCCTTTCCAGTTTCTGGGGACTGCCCATATGCCTTGGCTCATGGCTGCCTTCCATCTTCAAAATCAGCCATCACCTCACTCTGACCTCTGCTTTCGTTAACACATCTCCTGCTCTCTCACTTTCCAGCCTCCCTCTCTGACAAAAAAAGGACCATTGCAGCTGTGTTGGGCCTGCCCAAATAGGCCAGGATAGTCACCTCATCTCAAGGCCAGTTGATTAGCAGCCTCAATTCTGTCTGCAACCTTAATTCCCTAGAGCTGTTGAACGCAACTTGTTCACAAATTCTGGGAATTAAGACACGGACATCTTTGGGGGCCATGATTCTGCCTACCCCAAGGGGCTAGGTTACTATCCAACAAAGTAAACTCCAACACAAAGAAAAAGGGGGAAAGAGTGACATTACAGGGGCACCTGGCTGTCTCAGTCAGTAGAACGTGCTACTCTTGATCTCTGAGGAGGTGAGTTTGAGCTTCATGCTGGGGAGAACCTCTGAATCCTAGGCAGGGAGAGTGGAAGGAAAGAGGATTGGATAGGAAGAGCCTTGGCTCTTGCAGCTCTGAGGAGAGCTCAGCCAGGCCAGTGCAGGACCCCAACACAGAGATTGGAGGAGCCCCACAATGGATAGGAATGGCCTGGTTCTAGCTCTCCTGCAGGCACTGCCACCGGCCAGGAGTGGTCTGGGAGGAACATGCTCTCAGTGTAAACACTGTGGTAGATTCTGAAGGCAGTACTGCTGGACATGGCCAGCTAACTACCCTGCTCACATCGGGCTATCACTTAAGGGGAGATCTGAGCAGTGTTCCCCACGGCTGCCGCACAAGTTTAATAAAAGAAAAAATTTCCGTTTGGTTGAGGCATAATTTACGTCTTCTTTTTTCTTCCACTACCACAAAAGGTGATTAGGTGACAGAGACCAATATGCATGGGTCCAAATCTTGGGGTTCCCACTTACCAACTGTGTGACCTTCGACAATGTATTCATCTCTCTGAGCCTCAGTTTTCTCTCATTTAGAGTAGGGAGGAAGATAGTAGTAATTTCCCACAGGGTTGTTTGGGGAATTAAATGAGATGCTCATGGAAAGCTAAGCTCCTGGCACTTTGCAAACATGCCCCCATTAATGCTCCCATTTCCTTCGGCGTACCAGTGTAAGCATCGGAGGAGCACCTACAGCCTTCAAGGGCACTTACACAAGAGGGATCAGCAACCCTTCACCTTAGCTAAGAACAGGATAAAAAGAAATATGCAAGAAACGTGTAGCTATAGAAGAGAGAAGTATCTGATGAGTACGATATCCAGCACTCACACCACCGGTGTGGAAGCAAGGGGATATGTGAGATCTCCTATCATGAGGAAGACCTGAAAAGAGATAAGAACGGTTGTGGCCTTGGAGGCTTGGGAATCACAGCTGACCTCCCAGCCACACAGCTTCCTTACAACTTCAAAGAGCCACTGTCCTTACTCCTTGACCGATGCTTACAGCTGCAGGGCCCTGATGGACTTACCCCAAGTGTGTCCCTCCTGTGACCTCTAGCTCACCACATTCAAACTCTTTCTGTTTCAACTTTTAAAAGCAGGCACAAAAGCCGAGCAAAGCCCTCCTCTCTCCTTTAAAGCAAGAAGGCCGTTTCAGCAATATTATTGGGTGGTCATCTTCTATAGACAACAGCAGTTAGAAAAGATCATGGAACGTGCCATCAATAACAGCAATACAAGGTAAAATTTTTTTTTTAAAGATTTTATTTATTTATTTGACAGAGTTCACAAGTAGGCAGAAAGGCAGGCAGGGGGGCGGGGAAGCAGGCTCCCTGCTGAGCAGAGAGCCGGATGCAGGGCTTGATCCCAGGCACCCTGGAATCATGACCCCAGCCGAAGGCAGAGGCTTTAACCCACTGAGCCACCCAGGCGCCCCAACAAGGTAAAATTCTTAAGAACAAACTCAGGACTTTCGCAAGAGCCATATGAGGAACACAGAAACACTTCCCAGGCCAGAAAAGAAAGATGTGAATAAAGGAAGACGTAGATGGATTTAGTGTATTATTAGATAAGAAGTCCTAAGATTTTAAAAAAAATGTCAACCTGTAAATAATCTATTCATTTAAAACAATATTTACATTTAGATCCTGTAAAATATTTACTCATGTAAAAATGATGATACTAAAACCACAAACAGGATTTGGGAGCATGAAGCCACTGATTCGAAAGTTCTCAAGGAAACCCAAAATTAATTTGGGGGCTGGAGGGATGCAGGACTGTATGCTTCAGAGAGATCAAAAAAGAAAAAAAAGGGTGCTTTCATTAAGCATACAACTTGAAATGGCTAAATACAGAGTCTTTCCAAGGACTGTTAGCAGCACAGTGTAGAACAACGTAAATGACGTGAGGGGACTGTTTCTAGGTAACCACGGGGACTCTCCGTGAAAAGCCAGAAGCTTCTGACCAATACTTCAGTTGACAGTTGCCTCCTTTGAGCTGGGTGGTCATGTGATCGTGGTGGGGCTGAAGACCCTAAACCTTTGATCCATATGTTCCTTTGTTCCCACACACAATGATCACAATGAGAAGGATTCTTCTCCCAATGGAGACAGGGATAGGGCCCTTGTGCTTTGATTTGATGACGTGGGGCGAGGGGTGAAGGGAAGATGGCCAGTGTGGGATCCCCAGAAGGGGGAGATGCCACAGTTTATGTTCCACCACGAAGAAGTGTTCTTTCGCAGTGCCCCAGGATGAAATATTTACCAGCGTTTACGGGACTTATTTACCCTCCTATTGTCTTATCCCTTCCATTCCCTGCCCCAAGGCTTGGGAATGCTCTCAATTTAAACAAAAAAGGGGGTGGGGAGTGGTGCCTGGGTGGCTCAGTGGGTTAAGTCTCTGCCTTCGGCTCAGGTCATGGTCTCAGGGATTGAGCCCCAAATCAGGGCTCTCTGCTCAGCAGAGAGCCTGCTTCTGCCTGTCTCTCTGCCTACTAGTGATCTTTCTGTCAAATAAATAAATAAAATTTTAAAGAAAAAAGACAAAAAACGGCAAAACAATACATAACAGCATGTGCAAACACACACACACACACACACACACACACACACGCACACGATAGGAGTATGCTGAAAACTTACCAGCAGCAGTGTGTCTAGAGGAAAGATAATGAGGACAGTCCTATCTTTAATTTCTTAGCTCACCCCGGCAGCCTCAACCTGTGGGTATGCAAGCCTTTCCTTAGATGGGTTTGGATGTTCCTGCAAAGCCCTGTGAAGTCGGCAACATAAACCCTTGGAAAAATGTGGAGGGTGAAACCACTTTGAGTAACTGCGAATGGCTGGCACCTACAGTGTTATAAAAACTTCGAGTGAGTCACCCAGAATGACGGGGGACCTTGTTGCAAGCATGCATGCTCGCACGTGTGCCTGAAAGCAAGCCGGGGGGCCTGGGGAAGGCAGGGGGTGGGAACGGGGTGAGGGGGTGGGGACGGAGTGGGGGGTGGGGGACGGGGTTGTGCTTCGTGAAGGCTTCGCGCCTGGTTGTGAGGATGTCCGAGGGGAGGGGCCGAAATGGCCGGCAGGGGCATTTGGCTGCAGTCTTAAGCTCCTAGCAGCCTCAAGATTTGACAACTACTTAGTGGTAAGTTTGTTTAAAATAGAAGATGGGGCGCCTGGGTGGCTCGGTTGGTTAAGCCTCAGCCTTTGGCTCAGGTCATGATCTCAGGGTCCTGGAATGGGTCCTGGAATCAAGCCCCCGCATCGGGCTCCCGGCTCAGCAGGGAGCCTGCTTCTGCCTCTGCTGCTCCCCCTCCTTGTGCTCTCTTGCTCTCTCTGTCCAATAAATAAATAAAATCTTTAAAAAAGTAAAATAAAAATAGCAGACGAGGTGGTCTCTTTTAATAGCTATGCACTTCCATTTGCCACTAGAAACACCATTTGCCACTAGAACCACCACGGACAACTACTGTTTAGAGTTTAAAGCATCTTCTTTGAATTTTGAAAATAGTTTGTTAAACCATTTATGTATGCCCCGTGTGTTATTTTGGTAGTGCAGTTTTACAGAATTCAATATCGATGACCTAAAATTTCCTTTGTTTATCATTGTATTGTTTATCTCAATGTTTGCCATTAGTTCTGAATTGAAATTCATAGACTTCCCAGTATTTGCTAAATACCGAAAGGAGAGCTCTAAGTGTGGGAAGGGACTTACTGTACTCTGTGAGCTTGTGGCCTGGCCAGGGCCTATTCCCAAATCCCAGCCCTGCAGGTGGTTGGGCAGCAGCTGCTGTCTATTAACCTCTCATGTAGAAGAGCTGGTGGGGGGGTGCCTGGGTGGCTCAGTGGGCTAAGCCTCTGCCTTTGGCTTAGGTCATGATCTCAGGTCCTGGGATGGAGCCCCATATTGGGCTCTCTGCTCAGCAGGGGGCCTGCTTCTCCCTCTCTCTGCCTGCCTCTCTGCCTACTTGTCATCTCTCTCTCTGGGTCTAATAAATAAATAAAATCTTAAAAAAAAAAAGAGCTGGTGGGAATCAAAGGCACCTCACACTTTGTGGTGTTGCTCAGACAGACAGGGGTCCAACCCCCCAGTAAGCTGTTCCGGGTCCTGAGGGAGGAGTGGGCTGCATTGAACTGAGGAGTATGTGTCCTAGAAGCTCTGTCCCACTAATGTCTCTTTAGAAACCCAAGAGGGAGAGGGTAAGACACCAGGAAAGGTCATGGAGGCAAGGGTCTCAGAGCTGTGGAAATAGGGGTGGACAATACTGAGGGTTTTTTTAAAAAAAAAGTATTTATTTATTTTTAGAGAGGGAGACAGAGAGAAAGCACAGGGGGAAGGGCAGAGAGAGAGGGAGAGAATCCCAAGCAGACTCCCCAGTGACGGTTCGGCTCAGTCCCATGACGACCCTGAGGTCATGACCTGAGCTGAAATCAAGAGTCAGACGCTTAAACAACTGAGCCACCCAGGTGCCAGGTGTCACAGCACCAGGCAGAAACCTCACACCAAGTAGCAGTTGTCCCTTTAGGTCTCTCTCCAACATTTGCAGGGCCTGGGAGGAGAGTTCCAATGGAGGGAAGTTCACATATATGTCTACATATTAAATAATCATAACTAAAGCCTATAATATATTCTATCCTGTCTTCACTCTACCTTTAAATAACAAAATTTTTTAAATGTATATATGAAAACTATGATTTTATATGAGTAAAAGTTGGCAAAATGTCCAAGACAATGGAATTTAATAATTATGGTGTATTGGTGCATGTCTGGTGTACTGTTGATAGGGCAGTGAATGTAGGATGAGTAAAAGCAAAATAGAATTCACAAGTTATTGTATATTTTTTGTCTTCATTTCATCAAAATTGCTAATTATGCTGTTAGGATTATAACAGCATAATTTGTGGTCTATTGACAGAAATGCCAAATTAGAGAATAATTTTTTTTTTAAGATTTTATTTATTTGACAGACAGAGATCACAAGTAGGCAGAGAGGCAGGCAGAGAGGGAAGGAAGCAGGCTCCCCGCTGAGCAAAGAGCCTGATGCAGGGCTTGTTCCCAGGACCCTGGGGTCATGACCTGAGCCCAAGGCAGAGGCCTAACTCACTCAGCCATCCAGGCACCCCTAGAGAATAATTTTCGAGTCTGTATAGTTCTTAGATGGTTTTTATTCAATCCAACTTTGAGATACTTCATTCTGCTAAGGCAGTAGCCAGTCCTTCTGCTGGCTGGATTTGTCACTAAGTTTCTTCAATTCAGAAATGAACCCTAAGTTTTGCATAGTATACTCAAGAACTGTATTGGAATTGCATATGATAAATTGACATTGCAGAAAATATTAAATAATTTAATTTCATCATATAAATTGCTATCACTTATACATAATGCAATGTTTCATTTCTTTCTTTCTTTCTAAAGATTTTCTTTAAAAAAAAAAATTCAGGGGCACCTGGGTGGCTCAGTGGGTTAAGCCACTGCCTTCAGCTCGGGTCCTGATCTCGGGGTCCTGGGATCGAGCCCCGTGTCAGGCTCCTTACTCAGTGGGGAGCCTGCTTCTCTCTCTGCCTCTGCCTGCCTCTCTGCCTGCTTGTGCTCTCTGTCTCTCTCTCTGTCAAATAAATAAATAAATAAAATCTTAAAAAATAAAATAAAATAAAAAAATAAATAAATCATTTATTTGACACAGAGAGAGAGAGTACATGAACACAAGCAGGGGGAGCATGTTGGAAAGGGAGAGGGAGCAGGTTGAGTTCAGCAGGTTGAGTTCAGCAGGGAGCCTGAACTCAATCCCAGGACCCTGGGATCAGGACCTGAGCTGAAGGCAGATGCTTAACCGACTGAGCCACCCAGGCATCCCCAATGTTTCATTTCTTAAAGCAGTATCTAGAATCATACAATATTTCTATTTTTTTTAGTATTTTTTTTAAAGATTTTTGTTTATTTATTTGACAGACAGAGATCACAAGCAGGCAGAGAGGCGGGGGGTGGGGGGCGGCGGGGAGCATGCTCCCTGCCGAGCAGAGAGCCCAATCCCTGGGATCATGACCTGAGCCAAAGGCAGAGGCTTTAACCCATTGAGACACCTATGTGCCCCTAAAGTATTTTTTAAATAAGGAAACTTTTTCTTTCTTATTTTTTAGTAATCTCTATATCCAACATGGGGCTCAAACTTATAACCCAGAGATCAGGAGTTGAATGTTCTTTTTAAAATCTTTATTTATTTACTTATTTTTTACAAAATTTTATTAGAGAGAGAATGAGAGAGTGAATGAGAGAGAGTGCAAGTGGGGGGAGCTGAGGGACAGAGGGAAAGGGAGAGAATCTTAAGGAGGCTCCCCTGAGCCCGGAGTCCAGCTTGGGCTCAATCTCATGACCCTGAGATCCATGACCTGAGTTGAAATCAAAAGTCAAATATTCAATGGGCTATGCCACCAAGGCACCTCTTCTTTTTTTAAAGATATATATATATATATATATATATATATAAATATATATATATATAAATATATATAAAATATATATATATATTTTTTTTTAAGTAATCTCTACACCCAATGTGGGGCTCTAACCCACAACCTTGAGATCAAGAGTCACATGCTCCACGAACTAAGCCAACAAGGCACCCCACACATCTTCTATCTTGTCTAAATGAAGTCTTATTGCTCTAGGATCTTTTTTTTTTAAAGAATTTATTTATTTATTTATTTATTTATTTATGAGAGAGAGAGTGGGGGAGGGGCAGAGGGAGAGAGAAAATCTCAAGCAGACTCCCAGGTGAGCTCAGAACCCAAAGTGGGGCTTGATGTGAAGACTCATGGTTTGAGCCGAAATCATGAGTTGGTCACTTAACCGACTGAGCCAGCCAGGCACCCCCACACCCCTTAGGAAAAAGAAATGGAAGGCACCTGGCTGGCTCAGTCCACTGAGCATGTAACTCTTAATCTCAGGGTTGTGAGTTCAAGCCCCATGTTGGGTATAGAGACTACTTAAAAATAAAATCTTTGGGGGCACCTGGCTGTCTCAGTCAGTTAAGTGAAGTGTCTGACTCTTGATTTAGGCTCAGGTGGTGATCTCAGGTTGGTGAGCTGGAGCCCCATGTCAGGCTTGGAGCTGAGTGCGGAGCCTGCTTAGGATTCTCTCTCTCTTTCCCTCTGCCCCCTTCCCCTGCTTGCCCCCTCTCTCTCTCTCTCTCAAAATAAATAAATAACCCCTCAAATGTAATAATAACAAAATAAATGTAGTAAGACTCAGTGACTGCAAAATTTTTTGTAGGGGTGGAGGGGAATATGTTTAAAATGACCGTTCTTTTAGGGCCACCTGGGTGATTCAGTGGGTTAAGCCTCTGCCTTCAGCTCAGGTCATGATCTCAGGGCAGGATCCTGGGATGGAGCCCTGCATCAAGCTCTCTGCTCAGCAGGGGTGTGCTCCCCCTCCCCCTCTGCCTGCCTCTCTGCCTACTTGTGATGTCTCTCTCTCTGCCAAATAAATAAATAAAATCTTTTACAAAAATAAATAAAATGACCATTCTTTTATAAAACGGTGATACTAGTATCATAGATGGTAATTAAAAAAAAATTAATGTCCTCACTTGGCAAAGTAATGAAGTGGCAATCTTATGTCTTTCCCCAGAAGGTGTTAGACCATTTTAATGGTCTTTGAATTCCAGAAATTGGTAAATCACTGACTTAGGCAGTGATCTAACACTCTCTGACCTCAGGAGCATCACAGTGGTGTTCTATGGCCTCAGTGAGCCAAAATCTAGCTGATAAGAACTCTCTAAATGTCATTTGCTAAAATGTTAGCCTTGTGTTCA